TTTTTTGGAAATGGATGTGCAAAATGTTTCAGGGTAGAACCAGGCTGTTTTCAACTTAACAGTTGGCAAGGCATCTTTGAGCTGAAGTTGGAGGAATGTTCCCCTTAGGGCAGGGCTCCCCAAACTTGGCAACTTTAAGACTTATGGACTTCAACTCCCAGGATTCTCCAGCCAGCAAAGCTGGCTGAAGAATCCTGGGAGTTGAAGTCCACAAGCTTTGCTGGATGGAGAATCCTGGGAGTTGAAGTCCACAAGTCTTAAAGTTGCCAAGTTTGGGGGCCCCTGCCTTAGGGAGATGAGTTTGGGTAGGAAAGGAACTCTCGTGACTACATCTAGTTTAAATGCCCAAATTATGTTTTGACTAACGACTTACATTGCCTTGGTTTTCCTTTCTGCCTGGTCCCATAAATCTCCATCCCTTCGCCGTCCACGCACCAGCATTGTTCCACAGCCAAGTCACACTGTATGGGGTCAAAGTCACCTGAATCCAGACACTGTGGTATGTAGGCAGTTTCACTGCTATTGATGTAACGGCTGACCAGAATCTGCTGCTTTTGAAGCTGGCAGAAGGACAAACCTACAGCAGGAAGAAACATGAAGTACGGTCAGCTGCCACCTCGCTCTTGCTCGTGTTTCGCTGCCATACAAGGAGAGTCTGCCATGAACTCTGGGGAGGGTGGATGAGAGGAGGATATTTGGGGGGAAACGAAAGTATAACTTCCGCATCTCCCTAAGATTCTGCTTCAATTAAGAATTCCAACAATAAGGGTGTGACTATTTTACCTTGGTTCTGTCTTGTATTTTTCCACAGGAAGAAATCTTGCTAAAAAGCAAAGCACTGACAAGAAGGGAGTTAATAAAAGAGACAAAGAATGTGTATTCAAATAAGATATGCCTGTCTATAGCAGCTATAGAGGATGTGGCTCATGTCACGTAAACTGGTCAAAAAAGATTAACATTGCATCTCTTTACCTTTCTGTAAATTTCCTCTCTGACCCCCTCCCTTGAATTAGCACAATAAAAGAGGACAGCAAAAAGCCTGGGGGAGAGAGAAGAAGGAAAAAGGGGAAGAAAGGAGGAGGAGGAGGAGAGAAGCCTGGATTTTTCCATCTGTTCCAGGGCAGCGAGGGAATCCCATCTCCCCCAGGCTCAAAGTGCTGCCTCATTTTGAAGATTTCTTGTGTTTTGTGTGTTTTATTTCTTGTGCTTGCTTGGCAATCACTCTTTTGTGAGTCTTGCCTAGCCTCACCCTTGCGAGGGTCCCACTGTCTCGCCCTTGCGAGGGCTACTTTAAATCTCACCCTGGCGAGGGTTATTTTCTGAGAGGAATTCAGCAATCAACCAGAAAGGCGAAACAACAGACCGGTCGCTCAACGCGACATAAGGGGAAAATGGTGGGAGGGTATCTTGAAGCAAGTATGCTCTGGCAGTGCTCCCTACAATAACAGAAAAACAGAGATGGAAAGGGACTTTGGAGATCCTTCTATGCAGAGGTCGACAACCTTTTGGGCCTCAGGGACCACCAAACTTATAATTTTAAGTCCTGCGGATCAGAGACCCTGGGAAAATCACCAAAAAAGTCTGCAGGAAAATTCCCCGCCCCATTCCCCTACCGATCGATCATTCTTCATTTGGGATCGCGGGATACCATCTCCAGCTCCATTCTCAGGGGGAGAGAGAGGGAGAGAGACTTTTAGCTTCATGCAAGGAAAGCAGCAGAAGCAGCAGAAATCTTTCTTTCTCTCCCCCAAACTCCTCCAGAACTGAGTCTTTGTGAGACTTGTCACGCCGGTGCAGCCTCTTGGAGCAGGATGCCTTGCAGGGTCCCAAAGACTCACTTCTGGCGGAGTTTGGGGGAGAGAAAGAAAGACTTTTGCTGCTTTCCTTGCGTGCAGCCAAGACCAGAAGAAGAAAGAAGCAGAAAGAAGCAGCCCGGTGGCCAGGCCAAGCGCGTGGGGCGAGTGGGGAAAGTTTTCCCCCCTTCGCCCTTTCCCCCCTCCCACATTACCTCATGTTGTTTGCAATGCATGTGATGGAAGCCTTGTGTTCGCGCGCAGCCTGGATTAATTGCTTTGGGGGGTGCTTTGGGGGGTGACATTTCTCTGTGGACCACCAACATTTTCTCATGAACCACCGGTGGTCCCCGGCCCACTGGTTGGTGACCATTATTCTAATCCAAGCCTTTGCTCAAGCATGCATCCCTATATTATTCCAGACAAGTGGTTGTCCAGTCTCTTCTTAAATCAACCAGTGATGTTCTCTGAACATTTGAAAAGCATTTCACTTTCTGAGGAAGATATTTTCTTAAAGACCATAGTAAATGCTAAGTCCCTTGGAGTTAGAAGAAGCATTTAAAAGGAGATCTTGACTTGCGACCGCAATTGGGACAAGGTGGTTAAGTGAGTTGTTCCTGATTTTATGACCTGATCTCCTTCAGAATCCCTGACCATTCCCAAGGAAATGTATCACATTGAGTAAGATTCTTGTAATATAGGTGACTAACAATAAACTTTCTGCCTGATATTATTCAGCGGTGGTTGCTGGTGGTTGTGGGTTACCTCAACTGAGGCGCGGCAATCTGCTCTGCCACGTGAATCAGCTGAGCTAAGAAGCAACGGAATATAGGAAAGGAGAGAAATAAGACCAAGGGTGGGTGGGCAGGGATAGTCAAAATTTTCCCTACCGGTTCTCCGAACCAGTCAAAATTTTCACTACCTGGACGCAAGAATCAGTCCAAACCGGCTGAATACCACTCCTGATGTTTGTGTATACATCAACTATTTTCTGTCTAACATCCCACTGTATGTCCCAAAATATATCTTAAATGCAGGAAACAAGAGGTGAGTCTCTCTCTCTCTCTCATACACAAACACAGATGCAGACCACAATTCTTGGTGTTTTGAAACAAAAGTTCACAACAAGGAGGAACTTACAAGTCAGAGACGATCCAGACTGTTTAGTCCCTGGGACCTCAATGCCCTTTTCATCTACACACCAGCAGGAAACCCCATTTTTATTGCACTGTATGTTCCTGGTGGACAAAAACGTGATTTCCAACATTATTACGCTTTTTATACATGTACAGTATTAAGATTGACAAACCTTTGTAAGAAGCACCACTTATTTTCCAAATGTTAGCTCGTTCGCTGTTGCTTTGATCTTAGGGGGCGATGTAAGGAAGGAAGTGAGCCAATGCCTTTTTGAGCTGATACCTTCCCTAAAAATTAAATCCGTGTTTCTCAACCTCGACAGCTTTGAAATGTGTGGACTTCAACTCCCAGAATTCCCGACTGGTTTGTTTATGGGCATTTCCAGATCAAAAGTATCTCAGGTAGCAGTTTAATGCAAGGGGCTCCAAATTTGGCTACTTTAAGACTTATGAACTTCAACTTGCAGAATTCTCCATCCGGTATGGCTGGCTGAGGAATTCTGGAAGTTGAAGTCCAGAAGTTTTAAAGTTGCCAAGACTGGAGACCCCTGGTTTAATGGATCAATATTACATAAGCTAGCCCTGGTTATACAGTATCTGGTACCTCTTAGGAGCAATGGTGGGATTCAAAAATTTTTACTACCAATTCTGTGGCCATGGCTTGGTGGGCATGGTATGGCTTGATGGGTGTGGCAGGGGGAGGATACTGCAAAATCCCATTCCCTCCCCACCCTACTAGCCTGCTTTCCAGCTCCGTTCTCTTCTGCAGGGCAACAAAAGAAGCCCCAGCCGATCAGCTGGGACTCGGGAGGCAGAGAATAGATGGGAGCGGGGCCAGTCAGAGGTGGGATTTTCCAGTTCTCCGAACTACTCAAAATTTCCACTACCGGTTCGCCAGAACTGGTCAGAACCTGCTGAATACCATCTCTGCTTAGGAGGCCATGGCGATAGGCAAACTACGACACTTCAGATTTGCTGAACCAAAATCCCCATCTTTCTCCTGAGCGGTTAACCATTCTTCCAAGAAATTGGAAATTGTGCCAACATTACCTAAACTGTCCGTCTTCTGAGCATTGAGGGATGTAGTCTTCTCCATCACGAAAGGCCTTCTCCCGCCAAAGTTCACATGGACGAAGGGGCTGGGTTTCAGCCTCATATTCTATACATTCAGAAGAAGGCAAAGTTATGGCACCAAATCCCTTCCTCCTCTCCTAACCTCTCTTTGCTCTTTTTCACGGTTTGATCCCAAAGACTGGGAAAAGACACACAAATGAAAATGTGTTTTCAGGAGAACTGTTGTGCTCTAACACCCTGGTTTCTGTATTCTGAACCGTTAAGTTCCCCTCACACATATGTGCTAGTTGTTTCCGGCTCTAGGAGGCGGTGCTCATCTCTGTTACAAAGCCGAAGAGCCAGCGCTGTCCAAAGACGTCTCCGTGATTATGTGGCCAGTATGACTAAATGCCGAAGTTGTACGGAACCCTGTTTCCTTCCTACTAACGTGGCCCTTATTTTTCTTCTTGCATTTTTACATGCTTTCAAACTGCTCGGTTGGCAGAAACGGGGACAAGTAACGGGAGCTCACTCCATTACGCAGCGCTAGGGATTCGAACCGTCGAACTGCTGACCTTTCTGATCGACAACCTCAGCGTCTTAGCCACTGAGCCACCTTAAGGTAAGGTACCTGCAAAGAAAGCGATGCTATTTACTTACCAAAGATGCTGGCCAGCACTCTCTGGGTAAAGCAAAGAAGGGTGATGAACAGCAAGGACTTCATTTTGTAATGTCGGAGGACTGTCTCCCTCGCGAGGGAAAGGCCTCCAACCTACACTCTGGAGAAGGTCTCAGCCAGTATTTTATAGCTGCTGCCCCTCAAATCAACCTTCACTTATGAAATGGAAGACTGGGCTCTCAAGGAGATTAGTGACGCAGGCCATTTCAAGAGCCGAGTTGGGTCACGCAATCAGCCCGCTTTGCTTTTTCTTTCGCCGTTGCCCTTCTAAAGACTTTACACAATGAAAGGTGAGGTAGGATTTTTTTTTTTAAAAAAAGCATACGGTATAAAGGAAGTCCTTGACTTACGACCGCAACGGGATCCAAAAATTTCCATGGCTAAGCGAGACCGTTGTGAAGCGGGTTTCACCCCCTTTTACGACCTTGAGTTTGCCACAGTTCTTAAGCGAATTGCTGCAGCTGTTGAATTAGTAACACAGTTGTTAAGTGAATCTGTCTTCCCCATTGACCGTCTCAAGGTTACAAAATGGGATCAAATGACTGTGGGACACTGTAACCATCCTAAATACATGACAGTTGCCGGGATCTGAATTTTGATCAAGCGACCATGATGCTGTCATGGTTGTTAAGTGTGAAAAATGGTCCTAAGTCACTTTTTCCCCCAGTGTTATTGTAACTTTGAACAGCCACTAAATGGTGTCAGTTGAAGGACTACGTGTACATTTAAGACCAATAAATACATATTTACCTACCGGTATATCAAAAGAGGGACAAAACCTGAGGGACGAGTTAGTCCAAAGGTGGTATTCAGCAGGTTCTGACCAGTTCTGGAGAACCGGTAGCGGAAATTTTGAGTAGTTCGGAGAACTGGCAAATACAACCTCTAACTGGCTCTGCCCCCATCTATTCTCTGCCTCCCATTGAGTCCCAGCTGATCGGCTGGGTCTTCTTTGGTTGCCTTGCACAGGAGAACGGAGCTGGAAAGCAGGTTAGTGGGGTGGGGAGGGAATGGGGATTTTACAGTATCCTTCCCATGGAGTGGGGTGGGAACGGAGATTTTACAGTATTCTCCCCTTGCCACGCCCAAGCCACACCATGCCCAAGCCACGCCCAGAAAACCAGGTAGTAAATTGTTTTTGAATCCCACCACTGAATTACTCTAGAATCCCTACATAGTCACAAGTGAAGTCCAACCTCCCTTGAATTCCATGGACCCTTACATGAATTTCATGGACCAGGTGCTGACCGTTAGTTGAGGAGATTCCTCTCCATAGGCATAATTGGCAATAAATCAGTTTAATTCAGGGGCGTCAAACTCCATCTCATTGAAGGCCACATCAGGGTTCTGTTTGACCTCGGGGGTGTGTTGTGATTGGAAGGATCGGTCCTGTGGGGAGTTTTGACTCTGATGATGTTAGATCGTGGATTGACGTCAGAACCAGGAAACGTTAATCTGAAGGGCAAGCCAGTTAATTAGCACGTTGCCTTAATGGGTATAAAAGGACACAGCTGAGCTGGTGCCTTTCGTCAGGAACAAAATGACTATTTTGAATGAGGACGTTACTGCAAAGAGATCTCTGTTTGTTTGAATTTTGAAGGGGAGTCCTAACAGTTTCTGCCAGCCGTTATCTTGTTATTTCCTTCAGTTTGATTTGATTGTGAAACGGCTGCTTTGTGTTTGTTCGTTTGAATTTCCAAGAGGAGACATAACAGGAGTGTGTGTGTGTGAGTGGGCATGGCTGGGATGGGTCTGGCCAGGGTGGGCCTGGGCAGCTTCACCTCCTGCAGCAGCCTTCTGCCAGTAAAAATGGAGCCCGCCATTTTCACTGGCAGAGGGCTGCAGGAGGCCGTTGCAGCCCAAAACGGAAGGCCGCAGGAGGCCCCCATGAACTCAGTTTTCGCTGGTAGTCACAGCAGGCTGGTCCTTTACTGTTTCCAGGGCAACCCCGTAGGCCCGATCTAAGCACCCCACGGGCCTCGAGTTTTGACATCTCTGGTTTAATTAGATCTTCATGTGTGCGGACCTAATCTTTGGTGCCAGGCCCTATCTGACCTGGTAGGACAGGTTGATGTTGAAGCAGTCCTGTAGGTAATCTGTGCTTTTATGACTAGTCCTGGTCGTAAAGGCGATGACCAGCCCCTTGAATTGCACCTGGAAAGAAACCGGAAGCTCATGCAAAACGTTATTATGTGGACAAACTTAAAAAAGTTCCCCATTACTGTGCGCACTGGCACATTCTGGATCAGTTCGAAGTTTCCAGGTCTTCAAAGACCGCCCCATGTAGACTGCATTGCAATAATCTAGACGGGAGATGACCAAGGCATGTGTAATGGTGAGCAAGGCCTTCTGTATACATGAGGAGACTGGACAGTTCAATGATAAAAGTAGATCATAACCTTCAGTTAAATTTTACTCAGTATTTGAAAAAAAAAACTAGCTTACGCTACCATGTGAACCCCGCTTTAAACTACAGAATTTATGAACATCTGAATGAGAGGATGCTTGCTTGCTTTCTTTAAAGAATTCTAGTTTGGGTCTTCTAAAATCCAACAACCACACTGAAGGAGCAAGTAAAACTAGTAAGTTGACTTTCTCTCTATTATATTTGTTTTGAGGTAGCTGTTCCATGCAACGCACGCAGAGAAATGCAATTATTTTCGGTGTGAGCAGATTTGCTCAGGGATGTGGATGCCAACCAGCCGCAGCGATTACGAGTTCTAGGTGTGGGTTACCTCGAATTACGACCTACCCATTGTAAGCCGCCACAGTGGCTGCCTTGAGCACCACAACAAATGCTGTAAAATTGGAAGTTGATGGGAGTTGCCTAAAACGGCAAAATGGACTACTCTGATTAAAGAAAGGAATATAAATACTTTTGTTTCCACTTGGAAACCGCTTCTGAACTTTGTGCTTGAAGTGGAAAAGAATGCAACTTTGATTTTGGGTTTTACCGAGTAGATTGATAGAGCTTTACAGAAATGGATTGCTCAAGATTATAATGAAAAAAAAAAAGCAAAAAGTTGTGATTTGATGTTGCTGCTTTATTTTACTGCAACAGAAAAAAGTTGGAAGTCAATGTTTCTTTTTCTTTCTTTTTTCTTGTTCTTCCTCACTTCTCTTCCCCCTCTTCCTCCCCACTGTTTTTCCATTTACTTTTGTATTTATTTTTATTTTTTGCAATATTTTATAACTCAATAAAATATTAAACTGAAAAAAATGCTGTAAAATTGGGTTGGAAAAAGGACCATTTTGGGACGGGAATGCAGAGATGGTATTCAGAAGGTTCTGACCAGTTCTGGAGAACCGGTAGCGGAAATTTTGAGTAGTTCGGAGAACCAGCAAATACCACCTCTGACTGGAGACTTCCCCTGCCACGCCCACCGAACTGGTAGTAAAAAAATTTGAATCCCACCACTGCGGTAATGGGCAAACTTACATTAGTCACATGCGAAGGACTTTAATCCAAGTGCCTAATTGCTGTGGTGTATTCTTGCTTCCCACCAAAACCACAGACAGTGGTCTTCAATGCCCTCAATTGGCAGCACGTCTGCTCAAAGCCCCTGTTGAAATGCTCAGGATTTATTCAACACTCCAAAAAGCAAATCGACGAGACAGAAAGAGGGTGCGGTATGCAGAATAGTTTAATAAACAGCTTTACATACAGTACCTTACATATAGACAGTGTATTTGCAAATTTAAATACATTTTAATGTACAGTGGCTTGTACTCTTATCCTGTGGAGGTTCAAGTTTGTTGTCCTTCATGTATGTAGTTCTCACACTTTTATACATATTGCCAGCACTGAAACAGTCTGGGAGGCCTCAGGCTCGATATTCCCTTGCTACCCTCAATAATGCAGCCTCTCTTGAAGAATTAGTATTTCTTTTAAAATAGTATTTTATTTTTACAAATTTCTGTACATATTGTTATTTTTTAATCATCTCTCTCTCTCTCTCTCTCCTTCTCCCCTTTTTAAGAAACAGCTCATTAAAAGGTAACATTTTAATTATTTTGTCACCAAGGTTCTTTTTATTGTAAGAAAACTAGACTTATAAATATGTCTCTAGAATGCAACGTGTGTATGAGCACGCCCATACACAATATATGCTATGCACGCACACAAGGACATATGTGCATACCTCGAGAGGTGTACTATAGCACTGGCTGCAGCGATAATGCAGATAAACTAAAAGTAACTGGACTTGGCCCAGAATTTTATTTAAAAAACCCAGCTAACTAGGCAGGCTTTGGTTTCGTTAACGATTTGCCAAATCATAAGTGAATGCCTTTAACGGGCAATGTATTTGCACCATACCCCCTTTGAGAAGGGGAGCTCCTAACTTATATTTGGGATTGAGGCTATACAGACCATGCCATGTTTTACAAATTGCTCAACTATTCCAAGATTTTTGGCGTGCATAGGTTTATCTCCCTGGAATAAAACAGCATCAACTTTCACATTTCATACTTCCTTTCATTTCATGTTACAGAGAGTAAAAAGGTTGGGAATGGACCCATTTCATAGCCAGTCGCCGGTGTTTGGGAGGTTCTCTGGATTCCTCAAGCCAGCTGAGGAAAGTGGGTATTGCAGACCAGACCCAGCCGTTATAGACACAATATCCCTCAATACTTTTAATCGTAGCTCGCCCAAATATGGATTTGAAGAAATCCTGGTTGATGCTGGCAATATGGAGGACTCGATATGAGAAGTTTGGGGGGGGGAGGGGGAAGGGAAGCCCCCCTTCAAATGACACTCCAGTTTCAATGTTATTTTTTTAAAACTTTTTTTTTTGGCACTTTTGACCATGACTTTCCCAGTTTGGTTTCTAAAAACGGAGCATTAGATTCAATATGCAAGGAAGGCTCGGCTTAAAAAAATATTCATAGAGAGGCTACCATTAAAAAAAACAACAGTTTCTCCTGAAAAGAAAAGCTAGAATTTTAATTTTTTTTTTCTTTTCATTTTCCTGGATCTCTATAGTACTACGGAAAACAGGCCTTTGTTCAATCTTCAAATGACCACCTGGGACCCAATCTCCTTC